TTTGTCACAATTCATGCAGTCTCCTCGTACTGATCATTGGAATGCTGCATTGGGAGTCCGCTATTTAAAAGGTACACCAGGTCAAGGGATTGTTTTGTGTTCTAATTGTGATCTAAAGGTTCATAGCTGGTGTGACTCTGATTGGGCAGGGTGTCCATTAACAAAAAGGTCTGTTAGTGGATGGTTTGTCAGTGTCATGGAAAACCAAGAAGCAGGATGTCGTTTCTCATTCATCTGCCAAGGAGGATTATCGGTGTATGTATAAGACACTAGACGAATTAAAATAGTTACGACAACTACTTGAGGACTTCAGTGTTACTAAGATAACTCATATGGACCTGCACTGTGATAATCAAGTAGCTCTGTATATTGCAGCGAATCCAGTATTCCATGAACACACCAAACACGTTGAGAGAGACTGTCACAGTGTTCGTGATGCGGTTCAAGATGGCACCATTGCTACATCGAAGGTGAATACAAAGGATCAACTCGCGGATATATTTACAAAAGCTCTTGGTCGTCAAGAGTTTAAGCTTCTTTTGTCCAAGTTGGGAACGTGTAATCCACACGCTCCAACTTGAGGGGGTGTTGAGTGGCGTGATCAGCAAGAAAATATCTCAAGATACACGATCCATTATGAGAGAAATATTGAGATCATTGTGTATATAATGTGTTCTTGGTCACTGTATATTGAGATGATAGCTAAAGAAACTGTATATACGGGATTGAGAGTACATATGGATAGTATGTGCTGTATAGCTTGCTGAAAAAGGCTGTAATGTAGGTATATATTGTGATTGAATCCTCTTAGTGAAATACACAGAAAATTCACGAATCTTTGTGCTCTGCAATTTTACAAACAGCTTTGATCATCTTCCTCATTTTAATCTCAGTCGTTCGTTTATCTTCTAATTGTGGCCGTCCGTGTAATCACATCCACACTGAATACACTATAACAAACCTCCCCCATTTAGCAACCATGACCTCATGGTTGAAAGCTGGAACTTTCTGCAACAGATCATAGAGAAACTCCCAAGTAGCTTCACACTCAGCCTCGTTAGTTCACTTCACTGACACCTTGCTTGGTGGTTTACCTTGTCTATTAACTACACGTCTTTTAAGGATACGCTCTGGTTCTTTAGACAACAGATCCGACACAATGGAAGGTAAAGCAGTACTGACCGATGTATCACCAACTTGCAGCTTTAGTTGAGAAACATGGAAAATGGGATGAATGTGACTTGTAGCATGAAACTCCAATTTGTAAGCAATAAGGCCACACTTATCCAAAAAGGGGAGCCAACTTCTGATTCCCCCTGAACACTACAAAACCCTGGCGATAAGGTTGAAGCTTTACAAAAACAAAAGCACCAATATCAAAGCTTCGATCAAAACGATGACGATTTTCCGACTGTTCCATATGATGTTGAGCTCGCAATAAGTGAAACTTCAAGATGAGGAGCATGTTTTCCCCCTCTTGCAAACTCTTAGCAACCAAGACAACTTTTCTTTCACCCAGTAATTAAGGAAGATGCTGCGGTGGAGGTTGACCATAAACTGCTTCATAAGGGCTCATCTGAGCAGACGAGTGGAAGGTAATATCATATGAGAACTCAGCAAGAGGCAACCACCGGCTCCACAAGTAGGGTCTATCGCTGCACATACACCACAAAGATGTTTCCAAGCAACGATTGACAACCTCTGTTTGACCGTCGCTGTGCGGGTGGTAGGCACTAGAGTAGTTAATAGCAACTCCTTGTACTGTGAACAGCTCTCTCCAAAACTCACTCAAGAATATAGCATCTCTTTCACTAACAATCGAGCTTGGGAACCCGTCATGTTTAAACACATTATCCAAAAAAGCTTGACCAACTATTGCTGCTGTGTAAGGATGACTTAAAGCAATGAAATGAGCTGTTTTTGTCAATCGATCCACCACTACCAGAATCACAGACTTGCCAAAAGATAATGGGAGACCATCGATGAAGTCCATATAAGCATCCCGGTTTTGCGTTTAACTCAGAAATCAAATCACAGGGTTAAGATTACAATTAAACACAGGGGAATGCTACAAGCTTATTTTTATTCAAATTTTACACATTTCAAAATTAGTAATGGCCGTCTATATGGTGGCGTATTTGCACTTGGTCCGGTTGTCGTCAGATTTTTCTCGGCCCATGTCCTTTTGACAATGTCTATATATCCAAAAGGGGCCTGCAAACTTCAATCTCCCTTCTATCACAAGAAACCCAACCAAATTAAGAATTTCTATTTCCGACTCTTTAAGGACTCATAAATATAAATGTGACCATTCAATAAAGATCATAACTCTTTTAAATTAGGGTTTTTTTTAAAAAAATAGTCATGCAGATCACTTACTTGTAAATATAGAATTACACCGTAGATTTATAATAATGATAGCATTGGCATAATAACGTTGGCCACCAAGGTAATGAAGCGGCTTTTGTTTTGTTTTGCGCCGTCGCTCGTGGTCTAGACGACTAGACCACACAACATAGGGACATATGTATACGGTTTTGTGGAGGCTGGTGAATACAATACCATGGTTCGTATATTTAACAGATGTATCTTGGAGAAACATCTGTTAGATGTTGTGTCGTATACAGTAGCAATAAAGGGATTTGTGCTTGCAGAGAGGATCGATGAGGCTTGTTCTTACTTATCCAAGATGAGAAAAGTCTTGTGCGAGGAAAAAGACAAGGATAAACTGAACAAGATTCTTTGGGAATGCATTGAGGAGGGAGTTGAGCTGGATCCTAATACTAAGTTCAAAGTGATTTCTTTCTTGTCTCGATATCACCGAGATCTTTCTAAATTTAGATCGGTTTTGGAGAAATGGAGGACAACTTTGATGTTTCTGATTTATGCGATGAGTTATCTGTTTCTTCTGGCTGAGTTTTGTGGCAACTGTATAATTGTATAAACACACGATTGGCGCTGTAATTCTTTTATGTAAATCTTTGTTTTAATTATTAATTTTTTAAAATCCATATATCAATTTTTGACCTTCGTAATTATTATTACATACTTATATATTATTAATTAGTTTTACAAAATATTTTTAATTTGTAGTGTTCCACGTAAGAACTAAGCCTGGGGGATCCCATATCTATTAGTAAACCAAATCCCATCCATTCTGGCGATCCATGAACGTAGCTGACAACATCGCTTTTAACTTGAATGGTATGCTTCAAAAGAAGCAACAAATTTGCGGTTAGGCCCTTATCTAAGAACGCAGTTCCATCCTGTTTGGTTTGGCCACTCATCATCATTAAAATCAATGATAAAGAAAGGTTCCGTATACTTTAACATGTGAGATCTTATACTGTCGCTAGCGTCTCCACCATAGACAATGTCAAGATCATTCTCAGGACCAAGTTCATTGTGAATAACTACATGATTTCTCTTGCAAGTTTCGTTTAACTCAAATTACACAGTCGTAACTAACATAAAAATATCAGTTTTTGTATATTTTTGATGTAAGGTTTTTGTTAGAGTAAAAACAACATCAATATGTAGTATTTATAAAAAAAATATTTACGAAAAACATATTTTTTCTTTAAATGATCGATGAGGCTTGTTCTTTCTTATCCAAGATGAGAGAAGTCGCGACTATTAGCTCTGGTTTGTGCGAGGAAAAAAAGAAGGATAAACTGAACAAGATTCTATGGGAATGCATTGAGGTGGGAGTTGAGCTGGATTCCAATACTATGTTCAAAGTGATTTGTCTCTTGTCTCGATATCGCCGAGATCTTTCTGAATTTAAATCAGTTTTAGAGAAATGGAGGACAACTTTGATGTTTCTTATTCATGCGATGAGTTATCTGTTTCTTCTTGCTGAGTTTTGTGGCAACTGTATAATTGTATACACACACGATTGGCGCTGTAATTCTTTTATGTAAATCTTTGTTTTAATTTTTTTTTTTTACAATCCATGTATCAATTTTTGACCTTCGTAATTATTATTACATAGTTATATATTACTAGTTAATTTTACAAAATATTTTTAATATGTAGTGTTCCATGTAAGAACTAAGCATTTGGGATCCCAAAATCTTTTAGTAAAACAAATCCCATCGATTCTGGCGATCGATGAACGTAGCTGGTCACATCGCTTTTAACTGGAATGGTACGCTTCAAAAGAAGCAACAAATTTGCGGTTAGGCCCGTATCTAACAATGTAGTTCCATCCTGTTTGGTTTGGCCACTCATCATCTTTAAAATCAATGATAAAAAAGGTTCCTTATACTTTAACATGTGAGATCATATACCATCGCTAGCGTCTCCACCATAGACAATGTCGAGATCATTCTCAGGATAGAGTTCATTGTGAATAACTACATGATTTCTCTTGTAAGCTTCGTTTAACTCAAAATACACAGTCGTAACTAACATAAAAATATCAGTTTTTTTTTATATTTTTGATGTTAGGTATTTGTTAGAGTAAAAACAACATCAACATTTAGTATTTATAAAAAAAACATTTATGAAAAACACATTTTTTTCTTTAAATGATCGATGAGGCTTGTTCTTTCTTATCCAAGATGAGAGAAGTCGCGACTATTAGCTCTGGTTTGTGCGAGGAAAAAGAGAAGGATGATCTGAACAAGATTCTATGGGAATGCATTGAGGAGGGAGTTGAGCTGGATCCCAATACTAAGTTCAAAGTGATTTGCCTCTTGTCTCAATATAGCCAAGATCTTTCTGAATTTAGATCGGTTTTAAGGAAATGGAGGACAACTTTGATGTTTCTGATTCATGTGATGAGTTATATGTTTCTTCTGGCTGAGTTTTCTGGCAACTGTATAATTGTATACACACGATTGGCGCTGTAATTCTTTTTTGTAAATCTATGTTTTAATTATTAATTTTTTATAATCCATATATCAATTTTTGACCTTCGTAATTATTAGTACATACTTATATATTATTATTTAATTTTACAAAATATTTGTAATATGTAGTATTCCACGTAAGAACTAAGCCTGGTGGATCCCAATATCTTTTAGTAAACCAAATCCCATCAATTCTGGCGATCCATGAATGTAGCTGGCCACATCGCTTTTAACTTGAATGGTACGCTTCAGAAGAAGCAACAAATTTGCGGTTAGGCCTGTATCTAAGAACGCAGTTCTATCCTGTTTGGTTTGGCCACTCGTCATCTTTAAAATCAATGATAAAGAAAGGTTCCTTATACTTAACATGTGGGATCTTATACCCTCGCTAGTGTCTCCACCATACACAATGTCGAGATCATTCTCAGGACCGAGTTCATTGTGATAACTACATGATTTCTCTTGCAGGCTTCGTTTAACTCAAAGTACACAGTCGTAACTACAATTAAAATATCAGTTTTTTTTTATATTTTTGATGTAAAGTATTTCTTAGAGTAAAAACAACATCAACATGTAGTATTTATAAAAAAAAACACATTTATGAAAAACACATTTTTAAAAAAATAATCTATTCATTGGATAAATTTAAACATAAAAAGAACTAATTAATGATTAAATTCTACTAATTATTATTTACCATAAAAACTAAATCAAATTTAATATATAATTGTATTAAACAATATGGCAGTGGCACTATCAAGTTGTTTCTGAATTTGATACACATCAAAATGACAAATACAGTATAAAAAGAAAACTAGATACAAAACTAATTATTTCAAACTAATTCAAAATCTAGGATTATTCAGTTGAAGACTTATTGAAGACAATAAATCTACGGTTATTAGATACTTTTTAGTTTTAATAAATTTGCAAAAATTTTAGGGTATTTAACTACTCATTTTTATTGATATATATTAATCTAAAAATCTCATATATAAAGATGAAACTTCAGTAATAGAAACAAAAGATCCAAATTTTGGTTTTTTAAATAGTTCTCATGATTTTTTTAAATATACATTAATTTTTTCTTTTAAATAAACTTTCATAAAAACATTTCCTTAAATATAGTCTAATTGATGTGTAATTCTTAAATGTCTTCTACAATCTCATATTATTGAATATATAAATAAATTTATAACTAATTCAAAATCCAGCATTATTCAGTTGAAAATTTTATCAAATTCATAACAGATGTAGGGATCCCAAGATCTTTTACATAATTACCTTATTACATACTTATATATTATTAGTTAATTTTACGAAAAATATTTTTAATATGTAATGTCCCATTGAAGCACTAAACCTGGGGGATGCACATATTTTTTAGTAAACCAAATCCCATCTACTTTGGCAATCCATGAAAGTAGCTGGCCACATCGCTTATGACTTGAATGGTATGCTTCAAAAGAAGCAACAAATTTATGGTTAGGCCCATATTTAAGAACGCAGTTCCATCCTGTTTTGGATGGCCAGAGATTATCGTTAAAATCAAGGTCAAAGAAAGGTTCCTCATACTTTAACATGTGGGATCTTATACTGTCGCTATGGTCTCCAGCACAGACAATGTCGAGATCATCCTCAGGACCGATTTCATTATGAATAACTACATGATTTCTCGCGCAAGCTTTGTTTAACTCAAAGTACAGTCGTAACTAACATATAAACTATCATTTTTTCATATTTTTGATGTAAAGTATTTGTTAGACAAAAAACAACATCAGGTTTCTTAAAAACAGACGATTATCAGAAGTCCTTAGTTTTGAGGACCTCTATTACTTTCATAAAGATTGGGGGGTTAACCTTTGGAGGAGGAATTACAAGTTTCGTTTCTTTACCGGGTCGTGTATTTGGGTGAGTCCCCTGAACTTCCTTCCTCGCTTATGGAACAAGCAAAGGATTTTTTTGGGAAAGTGTTTGAAAAAAGAAGCGAAGGAGAGATGGACAGTGACTCAGCTGTTAAACCATCCGTTCCTAAAAACCAAACAGAACACAAAACCGGAATTGTTAACCGGTTGGGTTACGAACTCACCGACAAGCGTGACAGATCAAATGTTCTGGAGATCAGTGGAAGAGGAGGAGGACCAGGACCGTCCAAGCTGGTTGGAATGTAGTCACGAGGACGGAGCTTTCCCCCTAATTCTTCTAACTCTCTTCACTTCTGTTGCTTCATAATTGCATACCAATCTTCGGGATCTTGGGGCCATTCTGTTCCACTCATGACCATAAGAATCAAAGACTGTGCGATGTAAGTTTACTGCAAACATACGATCATGTTCTCCATGCTAAAGCATCTGTTTTTCAGTTAAAACATTGTTTGATGTTCTCGGTTTCCACTCCATCTGAGGAGGAATTCTATCATAGACTCGCTTGCCTTCAAACAACCATATAAGGATTATATCTCTCTCGATGATAGAGAACTTTATCATATATATTCTTCTCAATTCTATTCCAGCCTTCTTTACCTTGCTCATCTCTCTTATCTTGCATACCTATCATGTACGAACCACTAAGAACACGTTCGGGCACAAGGACCATGAGGGAAGAGTTCAACAAAGCAGTGGAGAACCTCTTCAACCTTAGGCAAACAGATGACATCAACAGCCTTCTCAAACGACTATGCATGACGGGATGATACGATGACATGGAATGGGACGAGGCAAGACGGCGTGAGAACATGGGACGAGATGGTACGGGACAGTACGACCGCATTACGGATTACCCTCATACCATGGACGACCGCATTACGTACCAGTCACGTACCACGGATGAAGATATTACGGCAAGCATGACCGAAGGACACGACGATAAAATGGGCCTACACTTAGGCGATTTTCAAGATGATCAAAGCCCAGCCAAGATCAAGGGAGGGTTCAGCTTTGGTGAATGGCCCCTTCTCAAGGACAGCCTCGGCCCACTCTTCTCATCATCGCTCCACTTCAAAACGGCTAAGTTTCAAGGCTGGACAAGGACTTACCTTTTTCGGTTCAAAACCAATCAAGAGGCAACGGTAAGACTTGTCAATTATTTACATAATATTTCGTGTTTTCCTTTGTTTTGCAGGGTTTATTTTCTAGTTTTTTTTTACACTTTGTAGAATAAGTTTTGTAATCTTTTCTTATGCACTTTTGTATTTTTGGTCCTTGCACTTTGTTTATTTTTGATCCTAGAAGGTCAAGGCTGAATGACTATTAATAAAGTCCCACATGCAGCATTGTAGCTCACCTTTTTACCTATTATCAATAAAGAGCAAACTTTCTTCAAAGAAAGCTGATAGGGCTCAGGTTTTATCCAAATAAAACTACTGCAAGTGCACAACAAAAGCAGTTGTAGTACAAGGGGTATCGAATCCCAAGAGAGTAATACAAACTACACTATCGAATGTAGGTTCAGATTAAGCTAAGTAGAATGTAATGTATGTAATGCGAATGAATAAATACAAGTAAGCAAGCGAATCTGTTGTTTGATTTAAGTTTCAGAAGACTAAAAGCACTAAGTCAGGACAGTTCGCAGGTTGAATCCAAGAATGTAGAATGCATGAAATCATGAATAATTATGAACCGTTCTGAACATGAATCACTGATATATAACTAATCAATTCTCATTGCAGAAGTTATCTATGCCTAAATCACAGAGTTTCAAATCTCTTTGCAAACCCTAACAATCTAAACATGCAGTAATGGTTAGGTTCAATTGTTCACAAAACTCCTAAGCCAAATCTCTTTGTACTAAGTTGTTTTGCTCATCAAATACTAGTTCAGGTTATCAATAATGCTCTCACATATATTTAACAACCTATGATTTTCGGATTTCTAGATGATGTGTCTAAGAAATTTGATTTTAAAGCAAGCAGAGATGAAAAACCATAAGATATTCCTAACAGGTAGCGATTCTACAAACTCTTCATCAACCTTTGAAAAAGCCCTAACTTAACTAGCAGATTACTCAGACATGATCATGGAGTCACAAAACATAACTGAATAAAATTGCATTAAGAGAAAGAATAAAAGAATAAGGGGGTTCGAAATCTTCTCAAAAGAGTACATGATCTGTCTCCCCAAATAGTTCTGAATAAATCTTTCTCAAACTCTTTTAATTCTCAAAAACTAAGATCCAAGCCAACAATGGCTGAAAAACCTAATAAATAGAGGCTAAACACGATGTGGGGTCTTCTTGTAAATAATAAAACTTCTAGGCTAATTCTGCAAATAATGCTCCATCTTTTAATAAACAGCCACGACCTCCTTCCTTCATGGGTGACGAGTGTCACCAAGGGTGGTGACGATTGTCACCATATCACATACTTTCTTCTCCGAGCTAGGTATTTCGTGGCTTCAACTCGAAATGCTCCAAAAGGCTCCAATATCTCCAATTATGCTCTAGATATGCTATAACCTGCAAAGACTCTTCTAGGACTCTAAAAAGACCAAAAAGTCTCAGCAAAAAGGACTTATATCATGGTTAAAAACCATAAAAAACTATGATATATCAAAAGCCGCCGCCGAGTTCTAGAGCATTGTGTTGTTTCCCCATTGTTCTTGAGTTCAAACCAACTTTATCACGGTCCTAACATCAGCCGTGTGTGTGTCACGCGATCCACCATTCGTTTCCATTCATTCGGTTAAGTAAAGAGTGCCGTTTGGCCAGTTGCTTGATCACCATCCCACCATATCATTCATCACGTACCAGATCTAAGTAGAGAGTGCCGTGTGTCCAGCTGCTTGATTCCCCACCGTACCGGTCATATAAGATCATACCTTTGATCTTATATCATTTGGTATCAGAGCTTAAACGCTCTTAGATTGGGTTTTATCTATTCCTTTAAATGTTTGTTTTTGTTTTCATTGTTTGCTTTCATTGCTTTTCATAAACCAAAACCCCATAAAAATCATTTGTTGCTTTTGTTTCGGTTGTTTCAATTATAAAACTTTAAATGAATTTGCTTGTTAAGTTGTTAGATTTATTTTTATAAACCCCAAAAATAAAAATAAAAATAAAATATTTTAGCTAAGTCTTTTGTTACTTATTCGCTTCGGCTAGAACTTTGTTACACTTGTGCTTGTAATCTATTTGTTAGTCTACGCAGGATAAATAGATGGGAGAGCAAGGAGCACAGGTAGACATGGCAAAACTCCTAGGTGCTATTCAAGCCCTTAGGCAAGAGGATGACCCGAATTGATAGATTGCCGCCAGCTCTACTTCTACCAAGGAGAGGACCATTGAGGCAGACCCACCAGCCCGTAGACCAAGGAGAGACTATTGAGGACATGCCCGGCTTAGATGATGACCCGCCCCCAGCACCAAACGTTCAGAATCAACCCGCGGGACGAGCTAGGGATCCCATACACCGAGGATGTATACGAGAGGAAGAAGCTTACCGACCCAACAACAATGACTTGAAGCTAAATGCCCCAACATTTGCTGGAAGGATTAACCCCGAAGCTTACCTAGAGTGGGAACGATGAAGGGAGTACATCTTCTTGTACTACGACTACATTGACTAGAAAAAGGTGTCACTAGCAGCCGCTCAGCTAACTGACCACGCCTTGTCATGGTGGGATAGAGATGTGTCCGAGAGGAGGAGGCATCGTTATGACCAGATCAGTACATGGGCCGAGATGCGGTTCAACATGAGGTAGCGGTATGTCCCACATCACTTTCACCGAGACCTCCAAAAGAATTTTCGTAAGTTGATACAAGGTAGCCGATCAGTAGAGGAGTACTTTGAAGAATTTGAGCAGCTACGCAACAGCTTGGAGCTCGAGGACACGGAGGAGACCCTCATGGCTCAGTTTATAGATGGTCTACAAGACCGTATAGCGAGAAAGGTCGAGAGACAACCGTACCACGACATGTTCGAGCTGTTACACCTAGCCATACAAGCAGAGCAACACGTAAAGCGAAAGGTAGCAGCTACAAATCGTTCAAAGCCAAACACAAGCTGGACCTCTACAACACCAAAGGCGCTTAACAAAGGCAAAGCCGTGGAGATTGAGTCCCAGTTTAAGAAGCCTACAGCCGAATCCTCTAAAACAACTCGGCCCGAGCAAGGTAAGCCCCCATTTTCTCAAGAACATGTGACATTACATGTTATAAATGTCAGGGAATAGATCATATGGCGAGAGAGTGCCCCAACAATCACGTCATGATCCTCACGGCTGATAGAGGTTATGAATCTCAAGATGAGATGGAAGAAGACGTGATGGAAACCGGAGCAGAGGAGATTGAATACACGGACTCAGGAGAGATGTTGGTGATTCTTAGAGGCCTTAGTGTTCTTGTTGAGCCAGAGACGGTTCAGAGAGAGAACATCTTCCATACCATGTGCACCGTGAACACCAAGGTATGTAGCTTGATCATAGATGGTGGTTCTTACACTAACGTGGCTAGCAAGTATATGGTAGATAAGCTAGGTTTGGAAACTACAAAGCATCTGAGACCCTATAAGCTCTGGTGGCTAAACGATGACACGGAGCTCAAGATAGCGGACCAAGTAGTTGTTACTTTCAACGTGGGGCGATACCTAGACAATGTGACGTGAGATGTGGTGCCAATGCGAGCGGGGCATCTCTTACTTGGGAGGCCTTGGCAGATTGACAAAGAAGGTATACATCACGGCCGTACCAACCACTACACCTTCACGCATGACAAACGCAAGTACAACCTAGCTCCCT